GATATTAAAATTCTTTTAGAGAAGAATAGTAAGAAAAAAATTAAAGATGACTTAAAAAGTTACAGTTAGTTCTAAGTCAAAATGACTCACTGATAAAAGAAAAAAAATTACTTTGGGAGGGGGTTAAAAACTTAGGTGCTGAAGTCCCAAAGTCTGTTTTCTTTTGAGTCACTTAAAGTTTCTACAGTCTACGAACAGTACGTTGTCTGCTTTGGATTAAGAGTCAACATTTACTACTCAGGTAAAAAGAAATTGCAGCCACTGTTGCAACTTTTTTTAAAAATTATTTTTTATAAAACCCCCACTTCTTTAAGATGAAAATACAAATCCTACATTATTGATTAGATCTCTAATTCCTGAAAGCATTAAGACTACAACTTGCCACCTTTGCAAGAATTAAAATGTACTCTAAGTTATCATTCCTTTAAAGCAGCGGTGTAGCAACCTAAAATGAAACACGATTGTTTTTTGTTTTTTTGTTTCAAACAAATGATGAGCATTAAAGTATATTATTCTGAGTGACTTGGAGTGTACTTTTCTGCTGAGAAACAGCAAAAACATCCATAAGTAATCTTGCTCGGGTAGTAATGCTACTCGCCCTATGTTAGACAATCTTATCCAGCCAAAGGCTGCCTGTTAAGTAAATGGAGAATACAAGATGTCTTTTGGAAGGACTTAAACCCCCCCGTAGCTATGCATGTATGTTAAACGTAGCTCACCCACAGCAAAACCTAAGACACAGACATGAAAATACATGGCCCTGCTCCATTCCCTTCTCCCATTCCCGGTTCTCCTGCCTCTTCATTTTCACCCCCTCCATGTGTCAGCCTTAGCGCTTACCAAAGTTTCAGTCTCTTCACCCCAGACAGCCTAAAACCACCCGCCACTTTGGTCAGGACAGTCGTTAACCCCCCTGAAGGCTACACCAACCTTGCAACAGGGGCTGCTGAGTACTAGAAGTGATGCAACGAAAGCCAAGTGACAGAAGCACCCACCAGAACAGCAAAACCAGTTTCAGTACAAGCAAGCTGTCAAGTTATACACTTTTAGTGCTGTTTTTTCTCTTCTCTAATCTAAACTTATGGGGAAACTGAGCTACAGAGCAGTACTATTCCTCTCATTCATAATTGTCTTAAAGGTTTCCTTGCTCCTCTTCTAAGGACCTTCCAGATCTTTCAGGTTTTATTGTTAAAAGCCACAATACTCCATTCAAAAATGCTTTATGTAAAACACTTGTCGTCTATTTATCCTTACTAAACAACTGCAAATATTTCTATACTCCTTGCTATATAAGCAGAAGGAAGTTTGCTAGTAACAGGAGAGTTCACACCAGCTGCTAAATGCTACTTTGTGTCAGTAAATTGATATACAGGATAGAAATCGGAGAAAGATAATTGTTTCGGGAATGCGTACACTGCCTAGGCAGACTACAAAAACCTTGCAAGTTAAGAGTTCAACAAAGCATTCAACACAACATTGTCAAAATTGTCTTCGTCGGTTACAGCGATATTACATGCCGCAGCTTCATAGGATTCAATCCAATAGCAATGTAGTCAGTGATGAGAACAAAACAGCAGAAAGCTGCTTTGCTCCCTGAGAAGGTTCGAGAGCCGGTACTGCTCGGTCACAGTATAATACAACCTGAAACATCTGTAGTCTCATGAGATTTCAACAGCTTAAGGGAAGTACATTCTGCTTTTGCACCCTTTTCACCGACTTGAGCTTCAGGCTGTCATCAGAAGAACTCTCCACCTGTCCGCTCTGCCAACTACAACCGCTTCTTCAAACATGCTGACAAAAGAGGAACAGGGTAAATTAGTTCTGGGCCAAAATAGGGCAAGCTAAACCTTTTACTTAAATACTTCATGAAAATTAAGCACTTCTGTGCCATCTTCAACACATCAGATCTAACAGAGTGTAATCATTCCATCCTTTAGGCAGCGAGCACCACGGTGTGGGCAGTATTGGTTAACACAGCCTAGGTAAATAACGAAGCGGTAAGAGATTGTGCACGTCCAAGTGTCAAGGCTACTCACGTTCTTCCAGAAGATGATGTATACTGGAACCGTCTGTCTGCCTCAGGTCTCCTTTGCCACCCAAACTCTTGCAAAAATTGGAGAGTGTGATAATGGAATGAACTGGTAGTTTAAAATTTCTTTTTCAGAAATGCATTCGTTTTAACCTGCTAGGATGCTCGCTGAATAAAAGACAAGTAAATATTAACTCCTCCATCTAAGAAGTATTTTCAAAATATTGACGAGAAGGTGTCAGACAGGATGAACTAATTTTTCTTTCTAAAAGCTGCCAGCTGCATTTCTGTACTGCATTACTTGGGACCTAAAGTACGCTTACAATGAGTGTCCCAGGAAAGACGGCCTCCTACACAATGTGTAATATCTAAGATTAACAGTGTAAATCAAGCACAGGATACATGCTCTTTTCAATGTTTTTATTACAGAAAAACAAAAGGCTTACACTTGACTTAAAAAAGCAGCATTATTTTGTGAATTCAAAGTTATTACAGTGAAGTTGCCTTAAGAAATCTTTAGAGACTGAAGAAAAAAATAAAATGCCAGATCCCCCCTCAGACAGCACTCTAAATTACTTGCACGACCACAGCAAAACCCTTAATTTCGCATCACTTCTGACACCCACTATATGACTTGTATGCTTTTCTTCTCCTTGTGTCTTGTTGAATATAGCCGAGAGAAGGATTTGGTGAAAATGGCAGTACATTTCAAGTTTAATTTTCAGCAGTTCAGTACAGATCTGATTGCTATTATACTTCAGAAGTGACTGAGACACATGCTTTCCTTCTAACTCTAGTGGTTAAGCGTTACAGTGCAATCTGTTTCGTAGGCAGTATTTATCGTATTCAGGCCCGTATCTCAGAAGATTTCTCAGCAAGTTATTTGGCTACTACTGATTATAAACGCAAACAAAAATAATCACAAAAACCGAAGGCTCATAGTTGAAACAGTTCTTAGCAATGCAGCAGAATTCAGAACTTTTTATTTTTATTATTACACACAATAGAAGGAACAGCAGCGTTCCCGTGACCACTTGTTTTTTATTAAGTCAAAAGCTGCAGGTTTCCAGCCTGAGCCAAAATTAAATATGTCATTGATCTGTATTTGAAATCTTAAGAAAAATAGACAAATAAAGAAAATATATTACTGCCTTAATAGTCCTACATTTTGACTATCAGCACTGAGTTGTGCTAAAGTCCCCCAAAAATTTACAGGCTTGTCATTAAATGTTGGTTTTTGTTTTGTTTTGTTTTTTAAAAAAACAACCCAAGAGCTCTATACCATGTTAAAAAAACAACTTCTAAACACATTTTTAAGTATCTCCTGCTACAAATATATGCTAAAACTACACGTCAAAGATTCCACTAAAAAAATAAAAAGAAAATCAAAAGCGAGAAAACTCAAATCACTACGTACAACTAGCTATAATGACAAAGAATGAAAAAAGGCAATCCATACTAGGAAAAAGGAGAAAACAACAGAGGGGGAGGAAAAAAAAAAAAAATCGGACACTTGCTACTCAGTATTCTATGAACTCATTTTTTTCTCCTCTCCTCCTGCAAGCAAAAAGGTTGGACTCAAAATCAGACATGGAATTTTTCTGAAAAAGAAAATAAATCCTAATCTCTCAGGGATCTACTTACTATACTGCACTGCAACATGAAGCCAGCTGTCACCAAGCTACTTAAACAGAAGAAACAAGTGTCTTTCCTACAAGGAAAAAGGATGCAATACATTTTCCCTGGTTATGATTTATATCATCATCAGGTTTACTCAAACACAGAACTTGTCTATTTAAGCTTACCCATGTTTTTTATTTAAAATTCCTTAATTTAGTGCTATAGCATAGTAACTTCTTATGTGATCAAGCTGCCTTATAAGGAGGACATTATAATCTGTATTATACAGTACTATAGCCTTAAAAAAACCCAAAACAAACCAGCATGAATACCAAGATAAAGAGCGATGTAAGTTTTGTTTCTGTGGTAGTCTCCATGACATCAATGCCAAAGGCTGCTTTATAGCTTATCCTTGGAGATTTTAACCCTGGACACAAATTAGTCCTTTCCACAGTCACAATGTTGTATTAAAAGTGACTTTTATGATGAAACAGGTAACAAAAATGCATTATACTGACCAATCTCTATGAATATTAATATTCTGATCCATTAACTCCCTGCTTCAGAGTAGGTAACAGTCTCAAAACTATCAATACCAACTACCTCAAAGATACATAACAATCTAAATTAAACACTCTAAACCAATTTACATCATTCAAAAACGCTTGTCATTAGAGAGTTATGCAAAATAATGAGAGGGTGTTTATATTTATGTCTTCCTTTATCAAATTGTACTGTGGATTCAGGAAAACTTCAAGATCATTTGCACTGTAAGTTTGTGTAAGCACTCATACAAAACAATTTAATGGGCAATCACGTTCTAAAAGGTTTATAATGTAGTTTTCCAGTATTTTTAGCTGCTAAAGCACTAATAAAGACTTAATTTAGCATATAACTCCCACATCCTATATCAAGTAAACATTCTTGACTGCCAATAATTATATTATTACATGGTAAAACAACCAACTAATTCCTAACAATTTACATTTAACTTACGAAAATATAAAAGTCTGGGGTTTTTTTTTCCAAAATAACGTGCAACAGGTAGAACATGTGACTTCTTGGAAAACTCTAAGTTGTCTGTAGCTATCAGGCTCTGAATGACTTTACAGATCTCTTCGTCTTTCTTAGTTTGCAGCCTTAATTTTATATGAATGAGTGTTTAGCTGGGCTATATTAGTAGTAGTTTATCACATACACTAAAGTCAAGTAACATTATCTCACTGTTCTGGAAATGAACAATTCAAAACTCTTCAAAAAATGTTGTAGAATTGTACCTGCAAATTTTTTCAGTTTAATAGATTACGAAAGAGCAATTTAAAGACAATTAAGAGAACATCCATCTTTTTTCTGTCAGTTTCTGAGAAAATTTGAATACATGCAAGTCAAAACTACCATAATGCAGACAAAAAGGTCCTCTTTCATGAAGATGATCAATAAATGACTACCTTCAATAAATAAGTCTATTTGGAAATTCTAGAGAATTCTTTTGCCAACAAGTTAGTCTTTTTTCTTTTCCATTATGTCTTTCTGTTTAAGCTCTCCACCTGAAAGTTCTGTAAATTTTCCATTCTTTTCCTCCTCTTGTTCTTCCTCACTGCCTTCATCCGTGAGCTCCCGATCACCATTTTCCTTTTTAGCTGCCTCATGTTCATCTACCCCTCCATCTGTATCAGCTGTGCAGATTCCGTAACACATAATGCTGATGACCCCCAGGGGCAACCCAAAGAGAAAGCATCCAAGAAGTGGTGAACTCTTGAACACAGACTGTTGAAACACAAATTTGAAGTAAGAAACACTTTCAGTTAATATACAAAATTATTTTATTACTTCTCTTATTAGTCTGTGTACATCTTCAGAAACATCCAAAATGATTTTTTGGTGGTGGTTTTTTTTTTGTTTGTTTGTTTGAGGTTTTTCTGCCCCCTCCAGAAAGGAGGGGGAGTCCTCATTTTAACAATTCCTACCATAAATTCATTTAAAAAAAAAAGACTCAGAAGTTCAAATACTACAATGTGGCACTGGGACAGTTAATGTTAACATGACAACTGTATATCCTATTCATTGTTTGGAGCTTGAGAAACAACTGTTCTAACTGTTAAAATACCCTTTTGAAGCAACCGGTTTCATCTCTTACATGGGTCTCATTCTCAAAAATCAGTTTGAGTAGTAAGAGATCTGCCGAAACATTCTGTATTAGACAGCTTCCTATTGAAGAGTAGTTTAATGGCACAGGAGGAAGGACTTCTGATTTCAGTAACTGATGGCTAAATGTTGCACTTTCACAGATGTTTGGAAGGCACTCATACAGAAACATGTGAGTTTCAATTTAAATTCACAGCACAGGTTTTTCGCTTGTGTAGGACAAGTAAGAAATGGATTTGTGTACATCTTCCCAATAAAATTCTGTTAAGTACCATTAACCTATAAGAAAGACGATAAAAATATTTGCTTCAAAACTACACCAAGTGTAGTATTTAATCCCCTTATGCTGTACCTAATTAGACTGAAACCATCACATTTCTCAGAACGTGGAAGTGCAATCAGCTTGAGCGAGAGGATGTGAAAAGGGTCAAGGAGAAGATTTTGAGCTCTCCCTGTTCTATCCCTTAAAATGCATGTCAGACTAATACAGAAAAGGAGTGAAAAATGAAGAAACCAACATATGTTGAATAATCAGCACACTGGAAATTATTATTAAAAACTTAAATCAAGAAGTTCATTTGGCTTAAATCTAATCTATATATACACCATATATATAATACAGACTTATATAAAAATATTTCTAACCTCTGAAAATATCTGCATCTTGATTGACAAGGGCACGACCTCATTTAATGAAAAGTAAAACTCACCACTACAGTAGACTTGGCATCATAGATTATTCTCTTGATTCGCTGCAGAAGTCCATCACCACCCTGTGCCTGAAATTTCAAATGGAACCATGTCAAAACTGCTGACACTTTTCAGTTATGATTCCAAAAGTTCATTCTTCAGACCTTGCAATCTTAAGTCCCTTTAGAAGGAAATGAAAAGTAATTATTCTTGCACCTTATGATGCCCAGACACTCCAAGTTCTCAAGCATGGATAAACATTTCGACAGTCTCATGAAAATTTCTCTCATAATTGTTTTAAACAATCAGTGCAAACTTTAACATTGGACTGGCACTCCACTCTCTTACCCTTGAGAAGCACTAACAGAAGCTACCAACTGTCCTGATGTAACAGTTATAAAATTGCAGAGATCTTCTGAACTTTCCTGCAGCTGATGGATATCTATTTATGGATTATGACAGAAGCAGTCAGAAAAACCTAAGAACTAAGTAACAAGAAGATACGAAGGTGTAATAAAGAAAACTTGCATCACACAATGACAGATTATACCTACACTGCCACCTAATTTAGCAGGCTTCAAAATAACTACATGAATCCGAAGGCAATTTGTCTGTTGAACAGGACCAGTTTTCACCTGTCTTGAGTTGCCAGAGAAACAAACCTACATTTTGGGAATCAGCTGATCAGCACTTGGCCGCGACCAATACCCCTCAAATTACAAGAGAGTCCACAAAGATGAAACAGACTCCCAAAAGGCTACCTATAGGGCCTTACAGAAAATGACAAGAAAGTTAAGGGGAATAATTCAACATTTCCCAAGGAAGGGAGGGGGGGGAAGGTTATACTTCTCAGAAATTTCACTGTGGTTCAGAAAGTCTGCATCCTATTCCTTGCTTACCAGCATACTTTGAAGACTGTCATTCCTCAACAGCTGCACGATTTCTTGGGCCTGAACATAGCCAAAGTAGTGCCATTTTATGTCCATAGAAACCATTTAGCTTAAATGAAGTCACATCCTGTCTTGTCTGCCTTGTATTAGCACTCTCACATACATAGAGAGATGTGAATTTAGACAGACCTTTAATCATTCTAGCTGAAATACTGCAAACAAAAGGTAGAACGAACTAAGTGACACTATGGCAAAAACCACAAGGCATCACAAACAAATTTCCTCAAAGTTAAAAACCAGACAGAAACCAATTTCATTTGTTGTTTCAACCAGAAGGATATATTGAGTCAAATGGATGTTGATAACATAATTCAATGCAATTAGCAAAGCATTGAAAAAAACTGAGAATTGATGAACAAAGAAGCACCAAATAAGTTACAGGAACACCCCTCACCTTACAACTAGAAGCATGGCCAATAGAGTCATGACCAGCAAGCAAATCCACCTATATTACGTCGCTACATCGATTTGTCAGGTTAAATAAACCAGAGTACCCCATATGACTGAAATGATCTACAGCATTACTTGTCATTACCACCCAATGCCCTAAAACTGCTAGTATAACGTAAAGTGGGATTCAGCTAACACAGTAAGCATTCAATAAACAGCAAACTGGGGCTTAAACGAACATAGGCTTCTCCCAGGAGGCAATCAAGTGATTTGTTAGCACTGCCCCCCGCTTTGTGGCAATGCCTGCTTGCCTCCTAAGTGCAAACGGAAGCTCCAATCCTTGACCTCTTTCCTCATTCACACAACATAACCTTCTGTGCAACTTAGAGCAGACTGAGGGAATAAGCCAACCTGAGTTTGTTTTGCCAACATTAAGAAATTGTTCAAGTCATCAATTCCAGATGGATTTAATCATTTTGTTGTTTTAACAACAAACAGCTCATTTTTAGTTTTAGAGCAGAGAGAGGGGTGGGCGCGTGTCTGTTTGCAATATGCACAGCAAGTATACCACTGGTTTTTGAATCTGAACCTACCATTCATCAAGCTACTGGATTTATTAATTTACCACCCAAAAGAAAGGGTAGAGTTGAACTATGTACTATAAAGGAAATTTTAAACAAATGCATTTAAAGCAAACCAGGAGATGAATAAAAAAGCTCTCCATTTACCAGTGACACCAGTAAAACAAATATCAAGAGAAGTCAGCTAACATTATGCTATAAATAAAACAAAAAAGCTTGCTTTCTACAAGAGGTTCTGCAGTCAGAACAGCAAGCAAAGGCACACCTTGAGAATTCACAATCACATATTCACTGACAGCACCCAAGACAGGAAGACAGACAGGATGGGAAGATAAAACACATGGCGTAACAATCAGATAACCAAATTTTTCCCTACTTTAGCATCTAAGGAAATAAACTAACTTATTTATTTTTAGAATTCATAGAATAATTCATAGAATTCATATTCATGGAATAATATCTATTATTATTATTATTCTAAAGTCACAATATAGACTTACTTCAGCTGTACCATCCAAGATATCGTTAATAAACTGAACCATGTCTTCTGTGTTCTCAATGTGCCTATCTGGTAGAAAATACTGCTGATTGGAGGTATTCAATACAACAATAGTAGGGATTGTCAAGTCACTGGAAACACAAAACAGATAGTTTATACATTTAAAGAACTACCATGTAAAACACTGCAATTCAAATAATTCCTATGTCATTTCAAAAGGTAGCCATCAATCTTCACTTTGTGTGTGTTCTTTATAGCAGTTCCTTAAAGGCAAGAGGGAAGGGGGAAGAGAATCACCTGAATGGTAGGCGCATGTTTCTCATCAATATTTTTTCCTTCACATTCGTGTCGGTGACACTATTGAACCTTACTGCATTTTACATACCCGTAGTGACTGCACATCATGTTCCTTATGACTTGCCAATTAATAAGAGATCACCGATAGTAGCCTTGTATATGAAATGTACCATTAGCACAATACATTAAGTATTTTAGTGCACAAAGGCAAAAGTATAATCCAAATATTCAATCCCATATAGCCATGGTCCAACTGATCAGCTCTATCAATCAACCTCTACCTGTGAAGTCAAAAGAATACACCAGACCAACCAAAGTTTTTCTACATCTCGTTTAGATATGACAGATGAGCTACAGAGTTTTTAAACAATTATTAGTCAGCAGCTGACCCTCACATGCATAAGCATTGTTTAGTATCAAAGAATCAGAAAGGAAGAAAGAAGAAAAAAAGAAAAAAAAATGTTAGAAATTATCTCTGGAGATAAACCAGTATAATCTACTATTCAAAGTAGCCCTAAATTCAAAAATAGATCAGGTTTAGTAAAATTTAATACTGCACAAGTATATTGTTCAACAAGAAAGACTGAAAATACATTAAATAAGTCAAGTGAAAAATCTCCTGTAGCCTTTGCCAACTTTCTACAGTTCTGTCAATAACGAATTTAAGTACTAGCTGGCTTTGCTTCACAGCACAATCAATGCAAACTTTGTTTTTCTACATTTTCACTCTTGTTTAATGGTGCCCCAAACATGTACATTTGTAATCCATGTAATATTGATGATAAAAACATGTAGAGCTGAGGAATTAATACTTTACGTACATTTAGAGCTGACATTCCAATGATGCTATATACTTTAGCTTACACAAAGATGTATCTTTGCTTTCAGTAAAATACATAATATTCTGTTTTCTTCTTTTGTGCATAGTTTTAACTACACCATTTTTAATCCAACAAAAGCGTGTATACCCACTGCTGAAGGGACAGATAAATTAGAATGTCTACTAATGGAGTTACAGCCAAATTCATAAGTGTACTTCTATGAGGGACTATCACTTCTCTCCCCACAAATCATACAATATTTCACCCTTTGTGAAGAAACATAATTTGCTCCTATGTGCATCTACCACAGCAGAAAAGTATTCTGCAATAGATTTCGCACTATTCAAGCGGCTTTTTCTATTTCCACTTGCTGCCATCTCGTGGAAAATCGAAGCACTTGTAATATGGTTTTACTCGAATTATTCAAGTAGCCACATGAACAGCAGCTACTTGTAACACTGAACATATTTTGCTGCATTCTTTCGCTGCTTTCCACTTATGCTGGAAATATATACACTCCATTTAGAAAATAATTAAAAGCTCGTGAGTACTTTAACAGCAACTTCCCATATACTACAAATTATAAAATTAGGCATGTTGCAGATTAAGTTAATCCAGCTGAACAGATCTTGCCACTACAGCACTACCACTATAAGTGGCAGTTCTGTCTTTTTCCCCTTCATTTTCTTCCTCCCAGGGACCTCATCTCCCTCCCCTGCTTCTTTGCACATCAGTTCTGGTACTCAGCAGAACAGACAGAAAGACATTTAAGGGTTTTGTTGGATCAGCAAAATAACTCCCCTACTCATCTAGCCAAAAAAGCAAACACTTTTCTGCCAGATAAAACAGGCTGAAACAGCTCAGCAGAGAGTCAGACATAAGAGCCTGCACAGGAGAAGCAATTAACGAAGTGAGGAAGGTCTCAGTTTTGGCAACTATAAATCACTAGATCAATCACATGACTTAACTTCAATTGAGAGACAGCTAGTTTTAAATTAATTGTATTCAGGTGTTAATCTACAGACGTTCCACAGAAATACAGACCTTGTGCCTCCTGAGTCCCCATGAAGCTCCTAGAACCTTCAGGGGCACAAACGTCTGCTTTGTTCATGCTTTGATCCCCAAGAAAGGGGTCTGGAAATCTTACAGAGCTGGCACATTGACCCCCATTTCTCCCTTCTTTCACTCAAAAGGTCAGAGGAGAATAAGTAGTCAACTGTAAATTCCAAGCAACTTAACTCTCTAACGATGCATTTTTAGACAAGGATCATAATAAGGGCAAATGTCAAGCATCTTGTTAAACTACTTCTATATTTCAAAATGTACCATGTACATATCAACTGCAGACAGCATTTTCCATGCATTTGATGCATCTTCTCTGCAGAAGTATGTTTCTATCCATGTCTTAGAAATGCATCAAGAATAAAATGTGCCTCTCCAGAAATAAAAAACAGATAATGCATAACCATTATTTACAATTCCTGTTACAAATTGACATAATTTTTAATTTGTCTAGTGCCCTGTAAATTTTTACAAAGGAAAAAACCCCACAGTTCTAATACAGTAATTAATTTAACAAAGTAGACCTAAAAGATAAGCTTTGCCAATCAGCATTATCAGTAAGCCAAACTTCTAACGCTAAATTATGCAGTTTAATTCAAGAAACAACTGGTAACTATGTTACATGCCGAATTCTGAGGACAGCTATTTTTTTTTCTAACTCATGAAAGGCAGGAATTCTTCATAAGATTGTTTTCAATTAAATATACTTAGCAACAAATGCAAGAGAAGAAAGAATATTCAAATAAGAATTTACTTACTCCATTAGTAAACTATTAATGTAATCATTTCCATCCATATGGCCAAACTGGAAATCCCTGTAAGAGAAGCAGTGAAAAACAGAATGATGAAAAAGAAAACAGAATAATTGGTTTCAGCAAAAGTTCTTCCTTAAATATTTTTCCTATAACTGAAGATGAGAGCACACACTCAGCAATATAATTCAAAAACTGATGACCTACGAGACAGTCAGCATCCCAAAACACACTCAGTTATTGGAATGGTCTTATTAAATATCAGTGTACAAATATAAAAGCAGGCACTATAAGATTTTTCAAGTAGGAAAAAAAAAAAAAAAGACTGTTGTTTTAGAAAGGTTAATGCAGAAGTTCATTTAAGATAGTACCATGTGTGCCTACCTGTGAAAGTGATCCTGATAATCTCTAGCAACTTCCTGAATAATAGATTTTAGTCTGGTGGGGGAAAAAAAAAAGTGACATTGACAATCCAGGATATATTCTGTCAAAATAGAAACACTGAACATTGATATTTCCCTAGTAAGCAGCAAACAGTACCTCATCAGCAATAAGGATCCCTATTCCATTAACAAAAACCACCTCGTTCATCTTGCTTGGTTTCTAAGGGTTGAAAGGCTATCTACCACATAGTCTCAACGTGAAAAAAAACAAGAGTCAGGCTGCTTTACTCCATCTATTGCCTTCTGAAGATGGAGCACTGAAGAAATCCAAAGAGGTCTGGGAAAATAGCATACACAGTACTTGAACAATATTTTCTTAGTCTAATTATGTACGCAATCAGAAAGGGACAGGGGAAGGTTTTGTTCCTCTCAGTCTCTTCAGCAAACTCCAAGCCAACTGAAAAGGCCCCTTCTAAATACAAGTTCCACAGGCAACTAATATATAAGCATCACTAAATCAATTTTTAATATGACTGAGCTGAAAAACAGTCATTTGTTTAAACTTACTAAGTTCATCTCAAAGTCATCTGAACTCAAGTACTTTCATCTATGTTTCAAAGGTGACACAATAGCTTTAAAAAGCTATGAGATCACTGTTTGGTCCTGTGATCTCATTAACAAACGGCAGAAGAGTGATACAGGAACTCCCATCATCTCATTGAACTCACATGTGCTTCAACAGAGCCATAAGTTAGGCAAATTCAGTAGGCCAAAGTCAGAAATTAGAGAGCATCCACAAGTTAAGACCATTCACTTAACCTAGCATTTCTTAAATATTAAGAAACTTCCAAAGTTCTCTATGTCATATCAGCACATTTCTCCCATAGTGTCACCGATACGCAATTCTTTACCTGGTATGCTCCACTGAAGAGTTTTTATCATCAATGACTGCAATAGCCACAAGTTTTCCTAAAATAAGGAATAAAATAATTGAAACCATTTACAAACATACATTCTCAGATGAAAAATCCTCCAACCTAGAAGATTAGATACTCTCTAGGGACAAGAATCAGTTTTAAGTAGAAACCAATCTTGATGCTAAATAGCCTCTTCTAGCTGACCAAACTCTGGTTTTCTTAAAGCTACTGAAAGTAAATTAAGATGTGGCTTAATGCCATACCACTAGCATTGTATGAAAAGCCTATCTGTAGACAGAAGTTAAAAGGGGAAAAACACAGATAAAAATTAATTCCCTACTCAAGCTGCATATTTGCATATACCTAAATATGAGGCTATGGAAACCCTGATTATATAATGGCAATTACAAGCTGATTCTAAGTGATTGAATCACTACTGTATGGATTCAGTAATGACTATTTTTCACACTATTGAAAATTTGGAGTATTATCCTATCTTTATGGAAGAAACAAACACGGAAAATTTACTGGCAGACCCCAGAATTCATTACATCAGAAAAACAACTTAGTTCACAGACGTCTGTCAGAGGAGCTTAAAGACCAAACACCAGAATATACTGATCTTTTCAGGATTCACTTTGTCAATTTTTTCTTATTAAAAGAAAAAAACTCAAAGCCTCCTAACTTAAAGAAAAAAACTCAAAGCCGGATAACTTCCTTCTCCAAGTGACAGAGCAGTCGACGAGGAGAGGTGCTATGCTGGACCTTGA